TCCATAGCAAACAAAATTATAACTATTGAGTGCAATTATCAAAACGATAGCTATTGATCCTTATATTTATTATGTTTTCTTTTCTGAATTTTTCTCATAAAAAATGCATTAAATTTTTATAGATTATTTTTTTTAAACCTATAGACGGTCATAAAAAAATTGTATTTTATAGGATATCGTTACATTAGTTTTTTTTTAAAAAATCTTTAACATTCCTATTAGAGGAGTTCGATTTAAAAACTAATGGGTTTTTTTTTTACCGCTTTGTTAACTTTTACAAATATAGTAAGATTCGTTTTATAACAGTTACATCGATCTACAATAACATTTCTTTATAATAATTAAGTTTGTTTGAAAATTAATTACATTATATTATATGTTCTTTATAATAATATTTTATTATAATAGCTACCAAAATGTTTGAGGATATTATTTTAATCACATGTTTAGTTTTGTTATAATATGATGGGCTTAGGAAAATTACAAGTGTGCAATAATAATTGAGACGGCTAGTATTTGATTTGTCCATGAAATTAAGGTTGACGCAGCCATATATTAGGTATTGACAATTGGATCAAATTACTTCAACTCCACAAACTTATTTGTCACAGTATGAATAATTTTTCAAAATTCAGATGTTATATATATAACATAATAACATAACACAAGTAACAAGTAGTTGGTATTAGAGAAAAATAATAATAATTAGTAGTTAGGAACTAGAATTTTTTAGCTTAAGTACGAGAGAATTTAGAGGAATTTGACATCATTTCATAACTTTTAGCCTTTGACTAAATTTTTTAAATTTACTTATTTTGAAATATATATTTTTTTTGTCAGAAGTGTTTTTTGAAAAAATAATTTTACAGAGTAATAACTTTATTGAGAAATACTTTTACCAATATTATGATAGTAATTTGTATTTGCACAAGATTCTATTGTTGGCGACTACTCCATATAATAAATTATACTAATTGAAAGATAAAACTAACAAAGAAGAATAAAAATATGCACTACAAGCTAAACCATAAATATTTCACTCTTTTTAAATAGATTCAAGTCCATCATTGTATAATTTACACTGTTTCAATAATATAATTTTTCACTTATTCTCTCTAAAATACAACAGTCTAACAACTTCGTTGACTCAATCATACTTTTTTTTTACATACAATAAATAAGTTGAAGACTTAAAAAATATTTTTCCTTTATCTCAATTTCCTCTTTTACTATATTAACTTCACTATCATAATTTGTTACATTTCTCATCTTTTTCATACTGTCTATGCAAAGATAAAACACCAGGATTTATAAGTTTAGAACTCTTTCATAGATTAAATAACAAAATAGTCCGATAGTAATATTGCATCGGATTGGTGAGTAGTTAGTGGTAGATCACGACTCTAGTAGACGCAGTTACATAAAAAATATTGATCATCTCCTTATCAATTTTTATCCATTAATATATGCGCTCAATATTTTAATTTAATATTAAAATATATTAAAAACTTACAGAAATAATTTTTAGAAGAAAAATCATTTTTTTCAATTTTGACAAATAACTCGTGATATTTCTTAAAAATATTTTTTTTCTTTCTGAAAACTTGATCAAACACTTAAACTCGCTGATAATATATATTATTTTTTATAAATAAACATTTTTGACTTTTAAAAAATTTGATCAAGAAAACTAATAATTTAAAATTAATGTTAATAACTTTTGTTTAATCAAAATAAATACTCCCTTTGTTCCTATTTTATTTGTCAAATATTTCCTAATTTAATATCCCTTTTTACTTGTTATTTTTTGATAAATTAAGGAGGGATAAATATATTTTTTTCCTATTATATCTTCAATTTACTAACATTGAGTTAGCATCTTTTAATAATATAGTGAATAAATCTATTTAAGATTTTATCAAAATTTGACAAGTAAAAAAAGGCAAAAAAAAGTAGCAAAAACTTAGAGATTGTGACAACGTGACATTAGAGTAAAGTTTGATGAGTCTGTCCAAAGCAAGATCATCAAAAGTTTTGTCTTGATCTTGTGGCTCAAGCAAAAGGTGGACCAGTAGAAGCCTTTGAGTATGTAGGTATTAGTAGAAATTAATTTCTTTTTAAGTTCTATCACTCTCTAATTATAACTAATTTATTGGAAGATGTGAAATCATAAACCACTTGAACACTAATTCCTGAGGGAGATATTTTACCAAATCATTCCATTACAAAGTGTTTTTTTTTCATAGCATATATTTCCTCCGTCTGATATGGTATGAATATCTTACTAAAAATATTTATATTAATTAAACGTTTTTTATTTTACGATCTATTATATTTATTGAACAATGTAGGGTATATGAATTTTATTAGAATTCTTTAAGTAAACGTCTTTAACTTACCATAAGATACAAACTTACTCAGCTTATCTTGTTCTTCAGATGACTCAATGTTAATTCATAATTTATTTAAGATTTGGAGTCAAAATTTATCCATTCTCTTAACCAAATTTCATTTGTGAAATTTAGATTCGTGTAATTTATAATTTAAAATACTTTACTCATTCATATAATTCATTTGTAATACTTCACTATAACTCATTAGGAAAGAAAATCAACCCTTCAATCCTTTACTATATCAAATTCCTACCAGTCACATATCCTCTCCAGACATATATAAATAAATTAAAGCACTAATTAATAACACTAATTATTTTTGCATTACATCTACCGGTCACATTTCCTCTTTAAGGAATACATTTCTTAATTTGCATTATAATAATTCATCAATCCTTATTCAATCATGGAATGCAAAACTAATAGAGTGCAATAACTAGCTCAATAATTTGCTACTAATTATGCTAATTAAACAACTATTCGATCTTAATTAGAGTAGAATTTAAGTTACAAAAATATCTATTGTTACTCAAGTATTCTCATTATGCTTGATAACAGTATACAACTATATCTTAGATAAGTTTAAAACTTTATACAACTATACAAGTATTCAAATACCTCCATATTATATAAAAATTAATTAAGTTCAAATTTTGTAGAATAAATAATTGATTCATATCAAGTACGTACTAATCTCTATGAACAAAATAATCATATCAAATATAACGATTTTATTTATACTTTATTTTATTGGATATATACGATTGATAAAAAAATATTGTTGTTCTTGGAAATTATGAATATATAAGATTGTATGACATGATTCACAAAATTAATATTTAGTGGAATAAGGTAAAAGTATTATACTTTGCTTGGTTCATGAGATACGAGATACAATTATAATTTTGATTTGCTTTATAATTCAGAAATAATTTATTATATACTTTCCTTGGTCCATGGGCAGAAGTATTTGATTATTCTTTTTTCCATAGTTCATGAATGTGTTAATTAATAATAACTCCTATACGTTAGTAAGACTAAACACATTATTTCCTCCACTTTGACGTTTTAACGTGCTTAGATATGTTGACAACTTGACATTGAAGTTAATAGAAAACTAATTAATCTTTACTTAATTATGATATAGATATGTTGACATTGAAGTTAATAGAATATTAATTAATCTTTACTTAAATATAATAATTAAGAAGAGAAGGTATAATTGTACTTTTGGGCTCTCAATTAAATAAATATTTATTTGGTCCTCAAACATTTATTAATAAAACGCGTAAATCTTCAATAAAGAAAAACATGTAATTTTCTCATTTTAGTCTCTTAAAGCGAATTAAATGGTATCTAGATTATTTCTATGATAAAAAAAATATTACCTTTAAAAAAGGAAAACTTATCATCATACAAGAATAGTCAAATACTCCTTTCTGTTTCTATTTACCTGTTCAAACCATATAGACTTGAACTAACATTATTAAATTAATGTAATTTAATAATGTTTTGAAAATCAATTTAATTAATTATGTGACAACTAACACTTTATTTGAATAGTTGTTAAGTATTGTTTTATGATGTGTCGTATTATATTATATTGTATTGTATTATTTTAATGAATACAATATTTAGATTGATTATATTGTTCTCCTTTATAATATAATATAATATAATATCATACATTAGAAATTATTGAGTGATAAACCTATGATAAAAGTAAGGAATGAGGTAGAACTATTATGAAAAGGTAATAAAAGAAAATAAAATATGATTATTAAATAATAAATAAAGACAAAATGAGAAAAAAATATTAAGATAATAACACAATTACATCGAATTAGTCCTTACATAAAAATGAGACTTTTCTTCGTTATCTAATGATGAATTTAAATATATGATATACAAAATTTATAAAAATAAATATTATATTTAAACTAAGAGGTAACCATCCAAACAAAGGTGTAAAAAGGAATAGAGCAAGTAATTTTTTTATTTTTTACTTTAGAAGTAAAAGGAGGACTAAATTTAGTCGCACAATTTAAGAAAGAGGTCTATATAATCCCAATTGAAGATTAACAGAATCTTCTTCTTCTCTATTCCCCTTAATACTCTGTCATCTCAAAACTGTGTAGACTTCCAAGTCTCCTCCCACCCCCACCCCCATCACCCTCTTCTCTTCTCTGCTCTGCTCTGCTTTCACCAAAGCTTCTCATTTTCTTGATTCTTTATTGAAGCCCACATGTGTGTCTATGATTAATTCTTGTTTTTTTTTGTTAACGTAATGGAACCGATACGTTTTCCTTAAATTCTTAGAATTTGTCTGTTTTTTGTGTACCCAAAGTCAACATGCAAGCTTTGAATCAGCTAAGTTGATTTATTACGAAGTCCAAGAACACTTTTTGAGGCCGCCCTTTTTAATAAAATTGTTTACCGAAAAGGGGAAGAACAAACAAACAAAAAAAATTAAAGATGAAGAATGATGATCAAGCTCTGTTTCTGTTTGGTATTTCTCTTTCGACCCGACCCAGATGGCAACAGTTCCTGTTATGCTCTTCTGGGTTCTTCTTTGGGTATCTTGTTAATGGCGTCTGTGAGGCAAGTTTTATGAATCTCTATTTTTTGTTCTGCAATTTTTTTGTCTGCTGTTTGGTCACCAAGAATTGCCCATTTTTTATCTGGTGTTTGGTCACTGAGAAATCATCATAAAAGGAAGGGTTTTGATTTTTGGGATTTTTGGTGAACAAGAATTTTCAGTAGTTGGAAGCTTTTGTTTGATTTTTTTTTTCTTTCCTTTTTGCATGTTTAGTACTATGATTTGGGCTTAATTTTTCTGGCTTAAAATGTGTTTGATTTCAAGTTATGAGTTTCAATTTAAAAAATTGATTATATTAGAGGACAATACTGATTGAATGCACTAAGTTTGTAACATATTGTGGAGATCTTTATCATTCATGATAGTAACTCATTTATATAATTGTTGTTTTCTAATGTCTCTACAATGTTGAATCTTTTTCTTGGGACCCCTTTGTGGTCCATTTTGCAGAAGAATTCTCTTTACTGTTAGATAAAGAAATTGTTGTTTTCCAGCTTTTGCCTGTGTTTTCACTTCAAGGGCCCTTTATTTTTTCCTTAATACGCAAGCGTAGCTAGATGTTTATTACAGTTGTTTCTGGCTCCATGTTATTCCTGGTACTGGTACCAATTGACATTATATTGGACTTTACTAGTGCACTTGAGTATATTTCCTTTGTAAAGGTGAAGCTAATTTTAGCTTTTCCAATGTCATGATTTAGAATTTGGTAAATGCTTTCGAATATCTAGTATGTTGGGGGGCGAGAGCGTTGTAGAACATTACTCAGTTTTTCTTAGCTTATAAGCTATATACCGAAGTATTTCTCTTTTGCAGTTAGAGTTACAAAGCATGTTCTGTATCTTTCATGATGAGAATGTTATGAATATGTCTGATTTTACCTTAATTTTCATGATCAATTACAGGAATATGTATATAATAGGCTTCAATTCAGGTAATTTGACATGTTTCCTTTTAGGATCATCATTAAATATTTTTGGCTTGGTCCGCGTTTAGAGATTAATTTGATTGTTTGGTGGTATTTGACTAAATGCAGCTATGGATGGTACTTTACCTTTGTTCAAGGATTGGTTTATGTGGCTCTTATTCATTTCCTCAATGGTTTTACTCCTAAGCAAATGGTGAACCCGTGGAAGGATTATGTTAAGCTCTCTACCGTTCTCATGGGCTCACATGGGTTAACGAAAGGGTCTTTGGCTTTCCTCAACTATCCAGCACAAATCATGTTCAAATCTGCCAAGGTGAATACCTAAGTCAATTCCTCTCTTTCTTGCAAAGAGAAGATGCTCATCTCTAATATATTAAAATTACAGAAGCAGCCTAGATGAAATTAGTAGGAAAAGAATACCAATCAGAGATCCCCGTCTTTGGTAAATATGGTAGACCAATTTTATGACAGATCTCGAAGGACTTTTAAGTTGTTTCGTATGCTAAACTTATCAATAAGAACAATAAGGGAGAAAATAAACAAATATGATATTTCAGTTAACCAAGTGCCTTTTGGCGCACCTTGACAACTGCCTTTCTTGTAACATGAGATTTTGTGCAATTAGAGTCGTTAACTTTTTATTCTTCATAGTCCAGGACACAACATGATTAATGATAATCTTGGTGGAATAACAATTTTGTGTGTCTCATTGATTAGTGGGATAGAAGTTTATTAGTCTGTTGTACTTTACAAGCTTCATGTTCCATTTACAAATATTTCAGGTATTGCCTGTCATGGTAATGGGGGCTTTCGTGCCCGGTCTGCGACGAAAATATCCACCCCATGAATATGTTTCGGCAGTACTCTTGGTAGCAGGCCTGATTCTTTTCACTTTGGCTGATGCACAAACCTCGCCAAATTTCAGCTTAATTGGTGTGCTAATGATATCTGGTGCTTTGGTTATGGATTCTTTTGTGGGGAATTATCAAGAGGCCATCTTCACGTCTAATCCTAACACAACACAGGTTTATTTAATGTGCTTTTGCATTCAATATGATGCTTAATCACGAGAATACTCGTTCATGACAAACTTGTGACTAGTTCACACCTTTAGGATTGTTTGTTTAACCTTTAACTTTAACAGATGGAGATGCTCTATTGTTCAACAATTGTCGGCTTTCCTATCTTGTTTGTGGCTATGATTGTAACAGGAGAACTAAGGATAGCATGGCCTGCATGTGCTCAGGTAATCATCACCAGAAACATGCATCTTGTTTCAACCTTTTTTCCTGCTTACCTTGTTTCTTTTTCTCCTGCAGCATCCCTATGTTTACGGAGTCTTGGTGTTTGAAGCCTGCGCTACTTTCGTGGGGCAAGTGTCTGTCCTTTCCCTCGTAGCAATATTTGGTGCTGCCACTACTACAATGGTTTGTTTCTATTAAGACTTGTCCTTTAACGAAGTTTCTTGATTATCTCATTATGACCGTGTGTATACATCTCCAACTTGAACTCGCATTTGCTTGAATTTGTACAAATCATTAACTGCATTGACATTATCAGATTACAACTGCAAGGAAGGCTGTAACATTATTGCTTTCATACTTGATATTCACAAAGCCTTTGACCGAACAACATGGTACTGGATTGCTGTTGATGTGTATGTGCATCATAATGAAGATGTTGCCTGAAAACAAGCCCCCGCATCCTAGGCCGCAGAAAATTATCCCTCTTCAACAAACTGAAAAACCTCGCGAGACTGAAGATGACAGATTTCAGATAGGCATTGAAGAGGAAGAAGAGAAGAGACCTTTGGTCTAAAACAAAGTAGAGACTCTAGCTTAGTCTATTATTTCAATTTTGATTAGCTTTTATAGTTGTAATATGGCAACAAAATGCTAGGCTCTTTTAAAAAAATATAATATATATATATACTTTATTGCTATTCATCCAAGGTGGTAAACATTTGTCAGATTTGTTTCTCTAAGGGCATTTAGTCCATCTTTAGATGATGAATATGGATGCAGTAATGCTAATTTTTAGTCAGACAGTTGGTTAGGTTCTTTATCTTATTTAAGATCTAAGTCGAGTCTTCGTATTATCTAAGGTATGATCTAACTTCTAATAACATTCGAGAGTTATTTAACGATTAATGAAGTGAGTGAAATTTTTGGAGATTGAGTTAAAATCTTAGTAGAGACAAGTACTACTAATTTGACCTTTCCTCCATAAGAAGATAACCCAGCCACTTTATAGATTGAAAGCTTATGAACTTTATTTCAGCGCGAAAATTATCTCAGACCTTATTTGTTTGCACGTAAGGGAAATTTTAGTTGATAATTGTATCAGTTTGTTTTTAGGTTTGAATTAATTATTCAATTTTAATCGTTAAGTGCTTTTATAATTATTTAATTTTATAATTGTTTAATAAGTCAAATAGATCTATATGATTAAGATTATAGCGAAATTTTAATATCAACATCCATTAAAAAGATTCTATAAATATAATCGTTCATCACCATTTCATCTACTTTCACCCCTAATTACCATTATTGTTGTCACTGTGCATCATTATCAACCAACTCACCCACAATCATCATTGTTGTATCACTGTCATTAGCCATCTTTTACGATCATCACCAATATTCACCACCAATCACCATTATCGATAATTACCATCATTAATCACCACTATATATATTGACAGCCATCGTCATCATTTACCATCAACATCACCAATCACCATTATCATTAGTGATAATCACTACCGTTAACCATCACCACTTCATATATCAATAACCACCACCGTTATCATTCATTAATTTTGTAGTCCATCACACAATTATCTGCCATCATTATCATCATCAACTATTACTATCAATAATTAATATTACTCACTATTGCCTTAGACCATCATAGCTAAATACTATTAATAACCATCTCTATTAGTCAACATCATCACCAATTTACATTAACCATCACTAATCATCACACTTATATACTCTTCAAATATATTCATATGTATATACTTTGATTCACTTATCTAAATTTTAAGGAAAAAGGATTAAAAATGCCCTTAAACTATGTGAAAGGAATAAAAATGTCCTCCGTTTATAGTTTGGCTAAAAAATGACCTTGCCGTCAATACTTTGGTTCAAAAATGCCCTTGCAGTCAACAAAAATACCCCTATAGTTACTAAATGGATAAAAAATGCCTTTTTCGAATAATTTTTTTTTTCTTTTTAAACATATTTTCTTCCTAATTAACATATTATTAAAGAACATTGTTCTTGCTTTCTTTCTTTTAAAAATCACTTTAACAAATAAAAATGTAGGAATTTTTTTTCTTCTTAATCTCATTTTATCAATTAAAATAGAATAACATCATTTACCTTTTCGACAGATAATATATGCCATATATATAAGATCATAGTATATCCATCATAAAAAATAATTATAATAAAATAAGAAATATTTTCATTTTTTTCTGAATTGACGTAAGATAAATATTTGCTAATTTAAAAAATATTATTAGAAAAGAAAATAAATAATATATTTTATTTGGAAAATGAGCATTTTTGACCCATTAAATAACAATGAGGAGATTTTTGGACCAAACTACAAACGGAGGACATTTTTATTCTTTTTGCATAGTTTCAGTACATTTTTGACCCTTTTCCCAAATTTTAATATCAAATATCCATTCATACATCTTATTATTTTTTAATAATAAAAACAAATTAGGCCTAAAATGGGCTAAAGTTGTTACTAGTAAATTAAGGAACATTAGGTGAAGGGTACTGTGGCTGCCACACGCCGTTTACAAGATGCTAAAAAGTGGAAATGGACACGTGAAGGAAGAAGAAAGATGCATGGATGACAAATTCTTCACAACAATAAATAAGAGCTAAACACGTGTACATCCCAATTGCATAAAAATGCTTTTTACCCCGATCGAGTAGTCGAAGTGAATTGATCAGAAAAAATGGCGGAAACAAACAGCAACGGTGGATTTAGGGCGCCATTACTGAGATCATTAGATGGAGAATTGGAGAAAGGGAAGGGGAAGAATGGGAGACCGAAAGAGCCATGGAAAGGAGAAGTAGTGAAGAGCATCGTGTATGCAGGGCTTGATGCCATTGTCACTTCTTTCTCCCTCATTTCTTCCATCTCTGCTGGCCATCTTTCCTCTGGTACCCAAGAAAAATGATTTGATTTCACATTTCGTCTTGTCCTTGTCCACCTATATATATATCGAGTAATTTCGACTTTCAAAATTGCAAAAAATATTATAATATATGAAACCATAAATTAAAGATGAAGCCATAGAAACAGTTTATCTATGAGTTGGAGAATATTGCAGCTAGCTTACTGTGTAAATGTTTGTTTTTGTTGTTGCAGTTGATGTTTTGGTGCTAGGTTTTGCTAATTTAGTTGCGGATGGAATATCTATGGGGTTTGGGGACTATGTGTCAAGCAGCACGGAGAAAGATGTGGCAGTCAAGGAGAGGACAGTAACTGAGTGGGATGTCATTAACCAGCACAGGCCTCAGAAGGAGGAATTACTTCGACATTATCAGCAACTTGGAATGAATGAAACTGATGCTAATACAGTATGTTTTGAATTTTCATCTTATACTTGAATGCTCTGTTTTTTTCCATTCTTTTCAGTATGAAGTTCTAGCTGCATCTTTTAATCCGTAGACACCAGTTATCCCCTGCACGAGATTAACAAATCTCTTCTGTTGGTGCAAGGTGGTGAATATATTTGCAAAGTATAGGGACATCATGATAGATGAGAAGATGGCAATACAGAAAGGATTATTGCCACCAGATCAAGCTGACAAGCCATGGAAGAGTGGGATAATCACATTTACTGCCTTCATTGTGTTTGGTTGTGCCCCGCTTCTGGCATTCATCGTGCTCATCCCATTCACAAAAAATGACACGTATAAGTTCATTGGTGCCTGTGTGTTTTCTGCAGTTGCCCTGGCACTGTTGGGGATAGCTAAGGCCAAGATTGCTAGTCAGAATTATGCACTTTCTGCAGGCATCACCCTTTTCAATGGACTCATTGCTGGGGCTGCTGCATATGGTATTGGCTGGACACTCAGGAATGTTGCTGGCTTGGAAGAGTGATCACTCACTTGTCACTATTATGTTTCAAAACTGGTCATGGAAAGAGAGAAGCACTTGGTGATTTCCCAGTTTTAACCATTTTTGTGACGGACAAAATCGTGTTCTAAATATTAATGTTCTTAACTTTTTTCTGTCTGACTAATGTACTTTTAAGTTAAAAGTTCTAATGTATAGAGTAAGTTAAAAGTTCTAATGTATAGAGCAAATATTTAGGTAAAAGTTCTAACCCAAGATTTATCTAGAGTTCCTCAGTCAATGCTAATTGCAACGCGTGCTCTGCTTCCTTAACGAAGAGACGAGTTAGTTGTTTCTGCCCCCGCCGGTATATTATGCTAGATTGCTTATTTCTACTCAGCAAATGATTCTGAGCAATGTCACTGGTCCTGGATCTGCAGTAAAGTTAGTTTTAACAAAGTTAAACCTGCAAGCTATTTTCATGTTGGCAAGTCAAGTAATAAAAACTTCTCTTAAAGGTAAAAGTATGGGAGTAGTTTTCAATCATACTCTTTGCAATCTTCTGGGGTTTCTGCGGTGCAAGCTTTTTCAAGTAATTCAGTGTCATTCTCCTCTGTTCCTGAACCCTCTTCTAGATCCAACATCCTTCAAGAGAAAACAAAGTTTAGAGAGTGAGTAAGCAAGTAAAGAAAAAAAATACATTGTCAACAGGCCAAGGGATACGAGTAGCACAAAGAATCTACTAGCAAGTCTTTCAATCTACACTGCCAATGGCACCATATGGTAGTACTAGGAAGAAGATTACTTCATGTTAAGCAGATCAACAAGAAGTTGTAAAGCTCCAGAATCTCCACAAGCCTCCCATATTGCTGCTTGAACTTCTGTGTCAGTTGGCTGCCTTTCTCCTCCAGATCCAACAAGCTTTGAGAAATAGAAAAAAAATTAGTGATCTGTATGAAATGGCTTTTTCGCTTAAGCGATTAGAAAGATTAATAAGACAACAAGTAAACCAATGGAGAAAACCTACTGCCATTTTATGTTTCACACTTTAATTTTTAGTCTGTTCCATGAACAATAACACCTTCCTATATGTACTTCTGTTAAACACCTTCACAAGCAGTACTAATGAAGCATCTGTACTCTTTTTAATCTAATTAGAAGACACGGCAGTGTTCACATCTTCGTTTCTAAGGTGACTGCCAAAGGGAGAGCAGAAATATGAGAGTTCAATACTTCTTTCTAAAATCATCAGTTTAAATTCCATGATATTTTTCAGTTCATTTATAGCAAAGTTTTTACACATCCTTTCACATGTATCAAGATTACTCATGATTGTAGAAGCATTTAGACGATGCCTAGTTCCCAACAATGGAGAAAATGAATCTACGTAGTAGCAGAAGTCAAAAGAAAATATCTAATTAACATAAGAGATTCACGAGTGACCAGGTATTCACAGAACTGAAACTGGAGTTATAGGAACTATTAACCAGAAGCATATTTGGGGATTTTGGTTTTTATCTATTCTTTTCCATCTAAAAATAATAAAATGAAAAAAGACCAAGAGAAGTTGCTGAAGATGGATCTTACCTCCTCAAGTAGGGAAGAAACACGATAAAGTTCATTTTCTTTCATTGCTAAGGTTCTCAATGCATTCAAGAAGTTTGCAGGAAAAACTAGATTATGCACGTAAGAGGGCGTCTTTCGCTGACCACTCCAACTATAATTGCAAACTTGACTACTGACGGGTTTATCTTTATCTTCCTCAGATGAGTTGGATGGAGGGAAAAATCCACGATTTAGCAAACTTCGGGGTAAGAGACATCTCAATTCAGCTTTCTGCAGACAGATATGAGCTTATCACTGCACATAGAGAGACACCAAGCCTGACTCTTGCTTGAGAGTTCCATGAGATTATTTTGTAA